CTGACTACCACACGGGAGGAGCACAATTTGGACTAAAAAAACCTTTAATCAGGTATCCATCTGAAAGCAATACAACTGACCCTAAGGACTGTGCAAATGCAAATTGGACTGCAATATGTAAATTTCTGTGACATTATTGCAGTTGCTTCCTGTCTTGTAGTTTTCTTTTGATACCCTTCTTTCTACTCTGCATCTTTCACAGGACAATAAAGTTACTTGCTGGTTCTCCCATCTTTCTCTTCTCAAGGATTCATTGTGAATAGTTGGGACCCACATATACAGCAGACTAAAAGCTCTCCTTTTTCCCTAGAATTTGTGTTCTAGTTCTCTGTATGTAGTGTGCTCTATACATGTCAGGCTATACATGTCAGGCATTACAAACTGGAGAGCCAGTTTGGTGTAGTGGTTAAGTGTGCGGACTCTAATCTGGGAGAACCGGGCCTTTGATTCCCCACTCCTCCACTTGTGCCTGCTGATGTGACCTTGGGTCAGTCACAAGCTCTGGCACAGCTGTTCCTGAAAGAGCAGTTTCTGTCAGAGCTCTCTCAGCCCCACCTACCTCACAGGGTGTCTGTTGTGGGGAGGGGAAGGGAAAGGAGTTTGTAAGCTGCTCTGAGACTCCGAGTGAAGGGCGGGGTATAAATCCAATCTCCTCCTCCTCCTCCTCCTCCTCTTCTTCTTCTTCTTCTTCTTCTTCTTCTTCTTCTTCTTCTTCTTCTTCCATGAGGATTGACTCGGGAAACAGTTATCGGTTAATCTTATTCTATGTTTAGAGTTAACAACAGGGTTCTAGTGAGAAAACTACACGTTCTACAGCAGTAATTTGGAATTTAGCTAGGGTTGCCAGCTCCAGGTTAGGAAATACCTGGAGATTTGGGGGGTGGAACCTGAGGAGGATGGAGTTTGGAGAAAGGCTTCAAAGGGGTCTAATGCCATAGAGTCCACCTTCCAAGGTGGCCATTTTCTCCAGGTGAACTGGTCTCTGTTGCCTGGAGATCAGTTATAATCCCAGGAGATCTCCAGCCACCACCTGGAGGCTGGCAACCCTAAATTTAGCTGAACACAACAACATTGTGAAGGCAACTTTTACTTATAGGCCTCTCTTGGTGGTTCATATAGGCCTGGGGTCTCCAACATTTCTGAGTTTGCCGAACTTTGGAATTTTGGGAGAGGGTGGTGGGCACCACCCCAAATTGCTGCCGCAGGAAGTAGAGCCCAACTCCCAAATGGCTGCTATAGGAGGAGGAACCCAACCCACGACTATCCTCCTCACTTTGCAAATGAATTGCAGAAGGGGAATAGAAAGAACCAAAGAAAACTGGGCAGGGGAAGAAAAAGACAGTGGAATAAAAAAAATGGTAAACTTTTTTTCTCATCTGTGTACTGAAGGATATCTCTGTTGATTCTGCAGTGCTTTAAGATTTGGCAGGAAAGGGTACACCAAGCCTCATTTTTACTTTTAAATCCCTTTCCTTCATGGAAACATTGCATAGCACAACATGTGCATGAGTCTCATGATTTATTTAAAAAGAAAGAAAGAAAACAATCAGATAAGTGCAATGCCTTCGATCCAAAGTGTCTTTCGAGAAGGCAATAAAAAAGATGTTCTCATATATCCTATCCCCTAATTTAACATATAAATCACACTCAAAAATATGATCCAGATGGGCTCCGATGAAGGAAACCAATTAGTTCACACTGCCTTACCATCTGACACATTAGTTGCGATAATAAAAATACAAACAGCACGGTCAAATAATAAGGTTCTGTCTTACATCTGACATTTCCCACTGGCGATGGTATTCTGTAAAGGGCTCACTCCAACGATAAGACTACACTATACATGTTTTGTCTTGCTGCGAACGAACATACAATTTTCTGTGTTTGCAGAGCAACCTCTGCAGATGAAGCAGATTCATCTGCTTCCCCCAACAGGACATTCTTTGGAACTCACACAGGCTGTGTACCGTCCACATCTGGTTTCTCAATTAGGTTTTGAGAACATTTTGCTTTCAAGTGCTCTGACAGCAGAACTGTGCCAAACTGGAGGACAAAGTACTTGTGAGCACTCCACTGATGTTTGACCTGTATCTTTGGGCCATCTCAGATCAGCAGGCCATCTCTGCTGCCGCTGTTTTCTTTTTATAGGCTTCCTAGAAATATAGCCTCTAGCATGTGTCAAGGCCTTTTTTTTGGCACAGAGGCTTCATTGTCAGGTAATTAGCCTTGCAACAAGCCCTTGCAAGTAGCTCTGCAATTAATATTACAGATTAAACGCTGAAACTGCATACATAGACAGCCCTTATACAGGATACAGGGGCTCACTTCTTTGAGGTGCTAAGTACATACAATATTTTAATAAACAAAGGACACCCCTTCTTAAAGGGTTCTTGTCAAAGGTTTCGGTTCTGGGATTATGAAAGGGAAGTAATTTCTCTCCAAGTAACTGTTTTACTTGGGATTACTTATTCCTGTCTACACTTCAAAGAGTTCCTGCTTTTCCCATAGTTTCAAAGGCCCATTTGGATTACCCTAATGATGCATTCTGGGAACCAAACACAGCAACCTGCCTGTTTTTATGCTGGGGAGAAGCAAAGGCTCAAAGGGGATCATGTTAGCAAAAACAACAACAAAAATAAATACTGGGAGTGTGCTCTTTTCCTGGAGGACTGCATACGTAATAGACTTTTTCTCATGGTTGTTGAAGCATTTGGATTTGCTTCGTTTTCAAAACAAACCCTACTTCTGACAGCATCTTACTCAAATTGGCATATAGCAGCTAACTGGTGGGGATTAGCTGACTAAGTCATCCAAGTCCTTCAGGGAGTGAAGGAATTGTTCCAGCCACTCTGAAGGAAACAGTTGGAAGACCCCTCCTGAAGAAATCGTCCCTTGAGTCAGAGGACTGAAAAAATAATGAACCAGTGGCAAATATTCTTATTTGGGGTAAGGTGGTGGTGGCTGTACAAGTTTAGGATTTCTTGGGTGAAAGAAATTATCTAGAACCGTTCCAATCATGTTTCAAGTGAGCTCTTGGGACGGAAATTGTCTTGGTTGCCCCAGATGACAACCTTCACTAGGGGAGAGGCAGGGGTGTACAACCTTGTTGACTCTCCTGGACCACCTGACAGTTTTCAATCACGTCAGCTATGGTATCCTTCTGGACAAATTAGCTAAAGTGGGTATTGGGGGCACTGCACTTGATGGTTTCCATACCCAATAACTTTGCCTGCCTGTTGGAGGAGGGTATTATCTTCTCTGTCCCCCCCCCTCAATCTGCGCTCATTGTTTTGTGCTTGTCACACTGCATGCGTTCTCTTTTTTATTATTGCCGATCCTCTGGAGCTGGTTTTGTTTCAAAATAAAATCGAATTAAAATATATATATCTTGAAAACCCATATGGAATATGCTGCCAGCAAAAGAAAACAGGGTTCTTCCACCTAGACTACTTGCTCAGTTCCATAAAAAACATCATGGCTGAAGACCTCGCCTCTGAATTCAGCACCAGCCCTGAATTCAGCATGACAACAGAGGACTGCAGTGTCCTAGCATAGGTGGAAAGTATATACTGGCATCCTCTGAACAGGAACTTGTTTTTCTAAGGGGCAGTAATGATCAAGCTTGATGCTTCTGCCAAAGATTGCCATAGAAGCATGTTGACGCAGGGAATCAAAAGTACAGTAAAGCCTATATAAAATAATATAAAATGTTTAAACATACGTAGAGGACAAAGGTGCTATGGAGACAGCAAAAGCAGGATTACCCACCAAGTACCCTGTAGACATAGTCAATGCTTGTAAGATTGTCCAGAAACCTCCCACCGCGTAAGTAAAGAATAGAAGAACTGCATAGGTAAGGAGCCTGCAAACCAAACCACTGTGTGAAGCATTGAATTCATGGTGTTGTCTGATTGTAGTATTTGATCTTGACCATTTGAGCCTCTTTTGGCAAGAAAGTCAGAGTCCTGCTGCAGCTTTGGTTTAAGTCTAGAGATCTGCCAAGCTATCTCGTAATGTATCCATCTCCGACCGCGTGCGAGGCTAGGTCGCCACGCAGTAATGCGAAGCGGCTAAGCTTCGCTCGCAGTAACAATGGGTCAAGTGGATCTTAGCCCGCACCTATCGGAGGGCTAGGCTCCCGACCAAGAGCCTATGGAACTCTCGGCCACTGTAAATAGCCAATCACTTGTGTGTGGGTGTGTTTGGGGTGTGGGATTGTTGCACTTATAAACCGGCCTGCGAGCCGGTTAGAGTTGTCTTGTTCTGAGCTGAAATAAAGTATGAGAGCTGAAATCGCTAGTAAGTCTCAGTACTTTTCACTCGTGTACGTATTTCCCCTCAGGTTAAAAGCATAAAACTGTGTAAATCTGCTGCCCAACCTTGTGCCCCAGTTAAAACAAAAGAGTCTTGTGGCTCCTTCGAGGACCAATGGATTTATTGTTGCAAAAGCTATATATATATAGATGCAGTTTCAATTTTTTAAATAATCAAGACATCAGTTGTTTATATAGGTCACATTGTAAAATAAAGCTGCTAATTTATACACACACACACACTTAGGAATCTCTAGGCCAATTAAAGCCAGTCTGTGGCACAAGTGGATGGAAGAAGTTAATAAAGCAATTCTGCTATAGTAACCCCCTATTCTGTACTCTCTAGTTTCCAGAAACAAGGGGATTCGGAGCAGTATTTCCTCTCTCCCTTTTCTTGGGCTTTTAGCCTGAGTATATTACCTGTGCCCCATCAGATAGCATGCTGGACACATAACTGCAACGCAAGCTGTTGACAAAATGGTTCTATACACCTTCATTCATCTTAGAGTGTAACTTCAGAACAGCAAATGAAATCTTCTGTAAACACCAAAAAACGACGAGAAACCATTTGGGAAACAAAAAGGTCCACACACCATAAAATATTCCACAAGTTTCTATTGAGACTCATATGAAAGAAATATGTCTCCCCCCAAAAAAAAATTATGAGTGTACCATCGTTCCACTAACCTCAACTGGGAATCGCCTTCCATTGATGCTATGCTCTGAGCCGGCTGACCCGTTACTCTGGCCCCAGTGAAACTCCACTTTCTCTGCTTTGAATCTGCCTGGTAGCCCTGCGTCGCTGATGAAATAGTCATCTTTTAGGAGGATAGCAACTGTGGGGAAAAAGAAAGGGGGGAGGAATACAGCTGAAAATGTTTCTGCCACAGAGGTCAGAGAAGGTCTGCTGTAATTGTTTTCATTGGGACAATGGCTGATTGGTCCTTACAGAGTCCAAGAGGCCATTTGTTCCCTTATGTCTAAATGTAATGCTCCTGAACTTAGGAGTACTGGCCGTTCTGACAGACATTTATCAAACCAGAAGATAGTAAAACCAAATTTTGTGTAGTAAAGGATTTCACATGGGACACAGCATAACATTGCCTCCCTACTTGGCAAGGAGGATAGGATTTCACTTCAAGAGGTAAAACCAATGAGTAGGATCAGACTGTCAGGCGGCAGACCAATCCTTTGAGCTAAATCCTACTTCGTTCAATTAGGATTATTTTCCAAGGATTGTTACCTTGGTCTTCCAGATCTAACAAGTATTCTCCTCTGTGACAAAACTCATGACAGTCACTTGAATATTGGGGGGGGGGGGGGATAATCATTTACCTTATCAATGCTAAATCCAAAAGTCACCCTTTCCCCTATTAAATATGATAATAAAACAATGATACAAATATAATAATTTAAGTAACTGACAATTTCCTATCCCTTAATGGTACCCATATACAGTCAGCCTCTCTGGCAGGTCTTCCCTAGTAGTACTTGCTTGCAATTATCTTCTGCAATGTATCTAGAGACATGCAATCAATGGTAGTTTCATGAGATGGATTAAACATTGCTACATTTTTTAATCTGAAATTTATTGTTGTTTTTACACGTATAACACACAACACTATCAAACAACCTTTCCTTCCCATAAACTCGGCTTCCTGCCCTGACCAGTGGGGAGGGGGAAAGAAATAAACATATAAAACAATAAAAAGAAGAAGGGAAAGGTGAACATTACCCAAGGTATTGCTACATTTTTTAATTTGCAAGGAGGTGTTACATGGGGGAGTGTGACGGATTCCAAAAAGGGAACACCTAGAGAAAAGCGATGTGCAGACATAGGGCAGTGTGGAGAGATGGAATGTTTGGGAGGTTGATGGGCAGAAAACGGACAGAGAGGGGGTTGGAGGATGGAGAGTGAGGGAGAAGGTTGTGAGCGGTTGGAGGCTAACAGCCATTGGGAACGGACACATTTTGGGAAGTATCCCAGAGAGCGGTTTAATTGTTGGAACCTTTGGAACGTGTATCTGATTGAGGTTGTGCTGGAGGAAAATGAGAGATGTCACAGTAAAGCCGTTTTATTCTTATAAACAATGGAGTCCAGTCACTAATTTCCGCCAGTTTTAAGAGCCTTGGAGTGAACCAAGAGAGTTTCATCACGAAGAACGAAACCAGTGGGTAAGTGGTCCCCGCTACTACCCGAAGCTAGCAGTGTCCCGCATAAGAGTGGTGTCCAAAAGGTGGTGGCTTGTAAGAGCCCGTGACAGGGAGCATTAAGCATTTGATTTCATTCACCCACAACCTGAAGTTGTACAGCCCAGATTTCCAAAGTCTTCTACTAGATCTGTAGATCAGGTTCAGCTCTTCATATAACTTGAATCAATCTAACAAACTTTTAAGCCAGTGACCACAGAATAAGTGAAGCTCACCAAAACAAGTATTTTCACTACATTATTATCAACATATCTAATTCTCAACATGGCCAAATCTGGCTTCTTAAATTCAGAGACTGGAGCTATCAATGGATATGAGAGATCATTCTACAAACCTGAAAAATGCCCCAGGTTTGCAGAAACATCTGAAATCTATCCATCTATCAGCACATACACACATAATTAGGGGTTAAAACCCACAGAAATAATAAAAACCAGCACCTGTAGATTTAAGGGGAAAAAACATCTTCTTCGGAGTTGCTGGTTGAAACTTTGGTTTCTGTCAGTAAAAGGTAGGGCTGCTAGATCCCCATGGGGGTTGCCCACTTTTGGAACCCCACCCCCCAAAGTACCTGGCACGTGGCAATGCGCCCGGTGCAATGACATCACCAAGAGGTGACATTGTGGGTGGGTGGTCAATCATTTAAGGAAAAACCATAGAGTTTTTCCTTAAATGGTAGAGCATCCCCTGCAACATACTGTGCGCGATGACGTCAGTTCTGGGTGATATCATCACAGTGCTCACTACTGTTCAACAGCAGCCACCACAAAAAGACAGTGTTGTCTAGGTGTTAGAGTTTCAAAGTAGGATTTGGGAGACTTAGGTTCAAATCTCCATTCTGCTGTAGAAGCTTATTTGGTGACCTTCATCCTGACCTATCTCACAGGGTTGTTCTGAGGATAAAATAGAGTAAAGGCAAATTATTTAAGATGATTTGGGTTAATGCCATAGAGTTCACCTTCCAAAACAGACATTTTCTCTAATTGAACAAATCTCTGTTGCCTGGAGATCAATTGTAACAGCGGAAGATCTCCAGCCACCGCCTAAAGGTTGGAAACTCTACTTCCGTATCCAGATAAGGACAGGAAGGAGAGAAAACTGAAGACAGGGGGCAGATAAAAGTAGGTTGGCTGTGGGGTGAGAATGAAAGAAGAAAGCAGGAAAAGGGGAGAGGCTATGGGGCGCTTCAGGGAAAGGAAGAAGGAAATAGTGGGGAAGGGGAAAATAAGATGTTTCCCTCAGGTCCTTGTGGGTCCTTCACTTGTAGAAATTTAATATTAAACTTAATTTCTGCTTTCCAACATTTTAATACATTTCTTAATATACTAATATTTTCTTAATTCATCCTCTCCATTCCTATAGATGTGGAATCCTATGTTAGTCTAACAGACAATGTTGGTGGATTTCAGTAAACAATTTTTGACACGCTGTTGTCATGGAGAAGTGACTCCTTTCATCAATCTAATAACTGCTCAAAGAGCTAGTATTGCCAACAAATGAGACAATCCTGGAGCACTGCAAAGGAAGGTAAGTATTTTTCTTCCTTCCACAAAAAGGCTTCTTCTTCTCTTCTGAGTCCTTCTGAAACTACATATGTCTTTTTTAAAATAGCTGTATCACACTGGCAATTCTTTGGCATCTTGAGATGACCACAACATCTTTCTTCTTCTGTCATTCCAGACAATGAGTCTCCAAGTGCACAACCTTATACTTCATGCTGTTCAGCTGAATGTCTTTTCTTTACTCCAGTGTATACGATTGTTCAATTTCAACTCACATAATTCTCAAATATTCTTCTCTATCAATAAATCCTCCCAGCTTTGAGGTTTTGGCAGATTTCATCTACACACTAATTTCTACTGCCAAAGTTGCAAAATGATGATATCAAATAAAATGATCTTGAAGATTGATCCTGCAGAATCTCAGTTGGTTATCTTCCTTCAGGTTGAAAACCTGCCTTTCATCAAAACACTTGAGTGCTTCTTTCTGTAACACATTCTAAAACATCCCAGACTGGAGCTGAACCAAATCATTTGTGCTGTAGCAAGTGCTGTACATTACAATTGAACAGTCAAGAATGGATACTGGATTATCTGCCACTGTTTTCACTTAACAAATATATGCTGTATTTTTCTCCTAAATTTATTATTCTTTTTACAAATTGGAGGCTCACAACAAAGATACCTATATGAGATATATAATTTGGAAATTCCCTCAACATAGAGTAATGCTGGATTCTGGGGCTTTAAAGGGACTTTATAAGAACGCCCAAAACAGCTGACTGGCGGGGAGCAGGATGCTCCCTGTGTCTCAGCTGTTTCTGCAGCTTTGGCAGGGAACAGAAAGCAGGGGTTTGAAAGGAATCGGGAGTCCCTTTAAACCTCTGCTCTCTGCTCTATCCATGAACCACTACAAATCACTTTAAAATTTTCCGGAAGGTCGTGACGGTAAACCTGTCACAAACTCCACTTTTTGATGGGTTTGTGAATCATGAACAGGGTAAAATTAATTAAAAAAATTTCTTTGTGGTTCAGTTAATGCCCATCCCTAATTGGGACTGGAGGAAGAAACAATTTTCCTCCAGTCCTAATCCCACCAACTCTTCCATGTCTCTTCTAGCTATGAAATGATCACAGCCCTCAAAGCTTTGTTTTTGAACTGGAAAGGAAAGGGGAAATTCAGCTTGGTTGATGCATGGTGCCCAACCATACAGACACTTTAGTAACTGCATATGATATTTTAATATCAAAATTCATACATGTTCCTTGGCTGATTCCATCCACAGGCTTTTCCAGGTCTTTCCTCTCAAATGTCAAAAATCATCCCTAATTGTCTAATCAGATATGAAATCTTTTGTACTCCAACCAATCATGTTTGTATCTCACCTGAACAGCTTATCACAGGCAAGCCAAGTAATAACCAATCTTCTCTAAGGTCTATATGTATTCTAAACCTATTTCCCTCCTAAATGCCCTTTCTCAACTGTGTTTCTTTTTATCAATATATTTAACTAGCAGTAAAGCCCGTTGTGGAAATAAATACAACGGGATCTAGAAAGAGGCTCTGGGGGAGTGCTCTGGCTTTGGGCAAACAGTGTCATTTTGCTGTGGTGACCTCAGCAGGGTATAATGGCAGAGTCCACTGTTTTCTCCAGAGGAACTGATCTCTGCTCCCTGAAGAGCAGTTGTAATTTTGAGTGATCTGTAGCCCTCACCTGGAAATTGGCAACAATTGTTACCCAGGACGAAATGGCTGGTTTGGAGGGTGGAGTCTATGGTATTCTACCTGTCTGATGTCCCACCCCTCCGCAAACCCCACCCTCTCCAGGCTCCACCCCTCAAATCCCCAGGAATTTGCCAGCCTGGAGTTGGCAACCCCATCTCCTTCGCAGCTAACCATCAATCTACCATTATCTGCCTCTTTGACTTCAGCTGACTTCCGCCCTCCCTTCTGCAGAGCAATTGTAATTTTGAGTGGTCTCCAGCCCTCACCTGGAGATTGGCAACAATGGTTCCCCATGAAGGACTGAGTGGTTTGGAGGGTGGAGTCTATGGCATTGTACCTGTCTGAGGTCCCACCCCTCCTCAAACCTCACCCTCTTCAGGCTCCATCCCTCAAATCTCCA